TGTGGGTTTATATCTGGGTTTTCTATCTGAATCCACTGGTCAGTATGTCTGTTCTTGTTCTAGTACCATACACTTTTGATTATTATGGCTTTGTAGTATAGCTTGAAGTTTGGGATTATAATGCCTCCATTCTCTTCTTAGTCATGAGAGTTTTGGCTATTTGAGGCCTTTTGTTGTGGAACACTGTTTCTTAAGTGCACCTTACAGTTGGCTGGCAGACCCATCGTCATCAGACTTCAGACTGACTTTTGTTTTCCTTTAAAAACTCTGTCATTGGATATTTTCAGTGTATGGGCTCATTTTTAGGTGACATTTCCCTATTTTTCTGCTCAAGGCATGCACCTATTTTCTTGGCTGTTTCCTAGACTGCACTTCCTCTTTGCCCCTGCTCATCAGTATCTCCTCTCATCTGGAGTAACCTTGCCCCCCACCCCTTCGTATGTAAATTCTTCTTTCCTTTAAGACTTTTATACCCCAAAGGTAGAATGATCTGCTGCCTTTTTCTTGTGTATCACCACTTACACTATTTAATTCTTGTGATATGCTGTATATTTAAAAAAACAAGAAAGCAAAAAAGAAAAAATCCTTGGTCTTCCTGGTGGTGCAGGTGTTAGGTCTCAGCACCATCAAAGTATGAGTAGCACTCATCCAGCCAGGGAACTGACCCACATGGTACAATAGGTCTCTCTGTCTTCATCAGCTACCCACTCTGTCTCTGGTAAATTCCCTTAGCCCCTCCGAACCCCGCACCTCTGGCCTACACACCAGCACCTGTATACATGAATAAATTAATCTCTCTCTTTCTTTCTTTTTAAAAATAGCTTATTGTCAAAGATTCTAATAGTATGCAGTTTGAGCCACAAAATCAGTCAGATCACTGAACATTTTTCAAGAAGACCAAAGGTCTGGAATATTTTCAGAAAGGAACATAGGAGAATGAAGAGAAACCAAGGGATAATTATAGTAGTGATTCAATTGTGTGAATGAATGGGGAGTGAGGCAATGGAGGTGAAAGAGTTAGCCTTGTAGAAAGTGCTGTTTTTTTCTGACTTTTCAGTTATTTTTTAGTTATGTTTACATTATATGTTTAGAATCTATTAACTGACCATAATTATTTTGGATGTGAGCAAATGAAACATATATGGTAAGTTGAAGCAAGTGTATATAAATGTCTGTGTACTTTCACTAGAGCCTAGTTCATGTTGTGTTAAGGATTTGGTGGTAGTGTCAACACAGCTATGGGGACCCATATTAATGGTTGCTTGAAAAGACACAACAGCATCTAAGTAGAAGAAAATTTGATTTATAAAAAAAAAAGTAGAGGTTTATTCATTTATGCATATAATTGGAGTATAAGCCAGAGATTCAGGGGGTGAGAAGATTCACTAGAGACAAAAGGGGGAGCAAAATAGGCAGATGTACTGAAATATATTGCTGAGGGGAGCAGTGGATGAGACAGGAGATGTCTGCTGTGCCACATGTGGGTCATCTCCCTGGCTGGGGACAGAACTCATATTGCAGTGCCTGTGGAGTTTCATAGTGTTGCATCTTAACCCCTTGCACCACCAGGAAGGCCCCTAAAGGAAAAAGTTTAAAACATCAGAATCAATAAGAACAGAAACAGCTGCTATAATAGTAACTTTGCAAAATGTGGACATTGTTGCTAAATTGTCAAATCAAAGAATAATGTTAAGTGATATAGTATAGATATTGTCCTGCCTGTAACTGTTCATGTTAGTGGAAATAAGTCAGCTGTTAAATTTCATTCCCTGAAACATCTCAGTATTTAAGCTCATTTTGAAAAATCTAAAGTGGATTATCTAGAGAAAATGCTTACATAGTTTGCATTACTCCAAATAATGCATAATACTCTGTTAATTCATGTGTTTTATGTGTGTCTACAACTAAAAGGACAATGTCTGTTATTGTGAGAGTCGCCTAGTTGTTGATGTCTAACACAGTGGTGAGATCCAGGAAGCTTTATATGGATTCATGTTTCTCCATGGCATGTAAAATCAGTGTAAATAAAATAAAAACCTGACTCCTATGGGCATATAATATAACCCAAAAATCCGCCTTAAAAAATGTCAGTATCTTGAAAGATACCAGCCCCACTTTAGCACTTTTTGTGTTAGTGGTTAGGATGGTTTCAGGTCTCAGATAGAAAAACTTCTTGAAGAAAGAACACTGAAGACACCATGTTCAATGTGCCCTGAGTGACGAGCGTCTGCTCGCTTTGGTCAGACAGTAAATATGTGTTCAGTGGATGAGTCACCATTTAGAACTTTGCCAACATTTTTTTTCCTTTTAGAAATGGTCTTTTCATTTTAAAAATTATAGATAAAACCCTAACTTATAAGATAATTTGATCTTATAAAAGGGTTTCCAGATCCTAACTTAAAAATAATTTATTTCATACTTGATTTAGTGTTTTAATATGGGAATGAGTAATATTTGATTCTTGCACATTGAATTCTTTTATTCCATACTTAAATATGAAAATGTTTATATTATGTTTATCTTTAATAAAAAATAAAAATGATGGAGGTCATTTATAGAGCAACTACTCATTATCAGAGCCTCTGATAAGAGCTTTGCATGTGCTTTGGAAAAATGAATCTTCCAGTTTACCATATGATTCTGTTGTAAAAATAAAAGTGCTGTAACTTTCATATAATTCATTGCTAATAGTAGGAGCCCAAATAATCTTAATCCAGACTCTGCTCTTGGGAAGATTAAATTTTATATGAGAATACTGCAGTTATATTTCGTAGGGTTTGTTACAAATCTACTCATGCTTATAACCTATTGAAAAAAATGTATCACATTAAAAAAATTTTAGGGAAACTGAGCATGTTTACCAGACATGTGTATGTAGCTAATACTCAGCTAACAAGTGTTAATAGTAATAACAATTGTTACTTTAATCATCAGCCACTGTCAATTTTGTTGGTGGCCTGGAATATTGATGAACCTCAGAATCACAATAATATGTAAGATAAATACAACATTTTCTCAAAATTTTCCAACCTGAATCAATGATATCATTTATCCCCACTCTATGTGTAGATGAATTATCTTTTTAGATATCCTTAATTTTTTAAATATTTGATACTTTTTCTCCATAAATTACAATAGATTCCAGGGAACACATTTTGGATTACGTGTTACTTCTTTGAAATCCAGTTAAGATTCACATATAAAAGAATTAAAAAGTATATGGAAAATGAAAGATTAAAAAAATGCAAGTATATGAAAATGAGAAGTCATATTAAAATCAAAAAATAAAGGACCCAAATAAAAGAATCATTAGTGTACATCTTTTTCTGTGTTACCCCACCCTAAGCTGATATGTACATGTCCTTTGTGTGTGTGTGTGTGTGTGTGTGTGTGTGTGTGAGTTAGGCAGAGAGAAGGGAGAAGAGAGCGAAGAGAAGCAGTGATAAAATTGATAGAACTCAGTAGTTGAGAATTTTATTAGATATAATCATACAATAGAATACAGTTGAGGGCTCTTAGATTTATTCTTAGTTCTTATGTAGTGTCAGTTTTATACAAAATTATATGAGCAATCAGTCTTTTTACTGAAGTTACAATATACTTTATTAATTAAAACAATATGCTTTTTTATTGTTTTAAGATTTATTCATACAGAACTGGGGTACAAGCCAGAGGTACAGGAGTGGTGAGAGGCTTCACCAGAGACAGTGGAGAGCAGAACAGGCAGATTGACGAAATACACTGCTGAGGGGAGCAGTGGGTGGGTCAGGAGAGGTCTGCTGTGCTGTGTGCCACCTTCTGGGCAGGGGATTGAACTTGACTGAAGCTGCTGCAGCCAGCTTGCAGTCCTCATCCTAATTAGCCCTTTGCACCACCAGGGAGGGCCCTAAAACAGTATATTTATAAGGAAAACATTTTTTAAGTATGTTTAATAACTTTGGAAGAAATACTGTGTTTAAAGAAGTGATAATGTAATTACTGTGATACTGATATGTAGATCAAATGAAAATGAAATATATGCAATTTTCATGTTTAAAATAGAAATAAAAACTTTGATATTAGTAGGTATAAATAATGTAGTTTCTAAGTAATTATCTATTTAAAACCATTTAATAAAGAGGTAACAGAATAGTCAAATATATATATATATACACACATATATATGTATATATATATATATATATATAGTAATCACAGTTAACTAAAATGATAAAAATGGAATAGATCAAATCACATGTTTTTCTATGTGGAATATTTTCCTCATTATAATGCAAATCTAATTTTTTAAAAAGGAAGGAAAGAAAGGATTAGATTTAACTTCCATATATTAAAAGGCTTAACTTGAATCTGTTAAAAGGATACCTATTTGTAACAAGTTCTTTCCATTAATAGTAATCTTATGTGACATTTTTAACTCTGTCCACATTGGTTAACTCTTAAAACATGCCACTGTATGAAATTAAATGTTTATGTAAGTGGTGGTTCGCTCTGTCTCTAGTTCATTCTTCCAACATTTAAAAAAGGTTTTATAGACATTTTTAAGAATTTATACCATAATGTCACTGGTAGACCTCCTAATTTGTGATATGATACTTGAACCTCTTTTATTTAAAATGATGTTAAAAAGTTGAACTGTGTGCTGTATGCAATTAAAAATTGTCTTACTCTTCTGTACATGTTGTACATGTAAGTGACCCCATGGGTCTCCCAAAGTGAGCCTTTAACATTCCAGAATTTTTACTGTGCATCTGTTGCTGGCTTCTAGCCTCCCACCCACACAGGCTAATACTAACTAAATGAAGTTTATGCTAGTGCAATAAAGTACATAAAGATGAAGTAATAAAATGGGAAGACAGTAATCTTCTTAATAAGATTGCTAAAACTAGCTTCACTACAAGACTCTCTGAACATATGTGAAAGGAAATAGTATATATGAGTAGAACTTAGAAAGTAATTTATTTAAATGGTTTTTCTTATCTTTTTAATGTTATGTATTCCAGATGGGATTTATACAGCTCAATGAGGACTTCATATTTATTGAACCACTCAATGATACAGTGGCCATTACGGGTCACCCACACCGTGTATATAGGCAGAAAAGGTCCATGGAGGAAAAAGCCAAAGAGGAATCACCTCCTCACAGTCCTTCCTGTGGTGTCATTTCAGGTAATGCCTTCTTCTGCAAAGATTTAACTAAATATGCAATCAGAGATGAATTCTTTTAAAATCCCATCTTTTCTTTCTTCTTCACCTTCTCTCTCCATCCAACTTTTCCTGTTTTTGATATGGAACCTCTGTTAGTATCAAACATATATACTTAGACTTTCTTTTAGTTTTCTATGAAGCACTATATTTTTATATAGAAAAGAGAAAGCTCAAAAGCACCTCACCTGAGATTAATATATAACCTGCCCTATATCTCTCTTGAATTATGAAGTGTTCCTCATGGGATAATGTTCACTTCACTGGAATAGAAATGACACAGAGAGATTCCAGATACACTGAAACTGAATACTGTGAGCTCATGGCCTTACTTTAGTCCAGCTCTATGAGAACATCACAGATAGCTCCACTCTTTCACCAGAAGAATCTTCTACTTTTTTTTAAATTGAGCCTAATAAAAATAATCATGGTGATTAAAATTAACAGAGGAATTAACAGTAAGACCAGTTAAGATTTATACCTTTGCGTTTTATTTGTAGTATTAGAAGACCTTAAATTTGAAAGTATTAAATCCTTGTCTGCTAGTTATATTCAGGAGTAAAGTGGGGGTGACTGTGCACTTCTAGACCTGTGGCACTTGGCCACATTGTAAGGAAAGGGAATGAGTTCTGTTTCATAAAAGGAACTGAATGTCCTAACCTGCATTCAGAAAAAAACTTACTAGCTACCTTAGGAAAAAGGTTGTAGCCATTAATCGAGACCCCTCAGAGTATATTAACTAGAGAGAAGAATATTTCCAGTTAGCATCTGGGGAAATACAAGTATATTGAAGTATTTTTAATGTAAAACTTTGAAATTTGGTATAAATTTAAAATTAGGTGCTATGCAATGGAATACTATTCAGCAATCATAAAAGATAAACTCTTGCAACTGTAAACCAAGACATTCTACAGGGCAGAGAGGGGAACAGGATCAAAACTGAGATGGGAAGAGCACATGGGACTGTGGTGATGGCATGTGGGTGAAGTGGTGGTGGGAAGCCCACAGGGGTTATAACCAAGATGAAAAAAAATGCACAAAATGAAGAATGAGGTTAAAAAAAATTAAAAATAAATAAATGAAAACTTCAGTTACTATTATTGTTGAATTGGGTATCTGATAAAAAATAAGTGAAGTATTGATGATAACTTAATCCTTAATTAAATCCTTAATCCTCAATCCTCAATTAAATTTGGGGGAACACCACTACTTAATACATTGTTAGCCTTGTTGAAATTCTATTATACTTAATAAACCTCAATTAAATAATTTTAAAATTACCTACAACTCATGTATGCCACTAAGTGAAAAATATCTAACTATCTTAACTTACCTAATTTGAATTGATGGTGTTTTTAACTCGTTGTGATCATAGTATATGTGTAATAAAGAATAAAAAAAACAAACAAACATAAACTCTTGCCATTCGCAGCAACGTGGTTGGAGCTGGAAAGGATTATACTAAATGAAATAAGCCAGAAGGGAAAAGAAAAAAATATCAGATGGTTTCATTTATAGGAGGAATATAAGGGAACCAGATAAAGATCAGGAAATAATAATAAATGAATAATCAAAATTAGCATGTAACCATAAATCTGAGACACTCTGCAAAGGGGACTGGGGAGAGAGCACAAGGGACTGTGGTGATGGTTCTCTGGTGAATTGGTGGTGGGAATTTGATGGGGATTATACCCGAGAGGAGAAAGCAAACATTGTAGAAATAAAATTAGTGTTACTATAGGCCATAGGACACTCACTTCAGCAGTGTTCTGGGGTGTCGAAATAGAGAAAGAATTAATATGTTTTTGTTGTTTAATGTATTTAAGTTGTTACCTGTTTTCTTTTGGGAAAGCTCATGGTATCAGGCTTTGTGATATTTATCTTCAAAAGTGGTTTAAGGGTAACAGCACATGCCATGTTCTTCACTGTACCCATCAAGGCCAATTTAAATAAGATGCATCCTTCCTGTATTTCCTAAGAGTTGTTAGACACTAAGGAGATAAAAACACTGATGAGACTCAAAGCATTATGAACAAGCAAAAGAAAATCACTTGTATTGTGAAACAGTGACAGAGGCAAGAGCAGCTTGAGTCTAGTCCCTTTAATGAGCTATGTTGACAATCTGTACTATGCAGCTTTTGAATCATAGTGAGATCCAGCTGTTGTAACTACTCATGTACATGCATGACACAAAGCAGACTTTGTTAGTCAATGCACATGGAGGAAATGTTTCTAGAAGACTCTATTTTAATAGGTTTATAAAGCATAAATATATGGTTCATATTTGGCATAAATTCATAGTTTATATTTGGAAAACATTCTTCACAATTTTTTTTTCATGTGTGACTGTTATATATTAATATTGACCTATTTGGATCAAACATTTGTGTGCAAGGAGGGCTGCACTGTCATCAGCTGGACAAATTACTGAGTTTACCTATTTTCAGATGCTTTTTAGAGGTCTAGAATTTTTAAGTCAGTAGTTGTGAATTAAAATACTCACTTCTTCCTACTGATATCATACTGTAGCTCTTCCCTTTTGACTTGAGGCTGATATACTAACATACTGAACATATGCTGCACTTTTAGATAATCCATACTATAATCCTGAAAGCATTTGCCTTTACACAAAGAAATCATGATGTTTACTTGTATCCAGAGTGGTTTTAACTGTATTCCCCTTCATAATCTGAATGACTGAAGTTTATTCTTCTACATGTATTGATTGCATGATACTTTTTTCATACTTTAGGATGACTTTGTTGTATTTTCTAGAAAGTTAATACAAAGCAGAAAACACTTGAACTTGACAGTCAAGGGTCCCAGGTTTGAGGCACAGCTTTAGTGAGTTATTTTCCAGTCCTCTCAGAATCTTACACATTGACTTTTTTATTTGCAACTAAGCACAACCAATCATCTCACAAGTGTGCAGCTATATAGCACAGTTTTTCTTCTCAAGAGATGAGCATTGTATCATTGTGTATAAAACGGTAAATGAGCAATTGCATTATAGCCTGTAAGAATAAGACAGACTCAACTTCTAAAACTTTAATGTTGCAGGGGTGATAAGCCTCAGATATTTAGAATTTATTGAACCTACAGAGAAAGGAGGGAACAGAGTGTGCTACTTAAGAACATAAACTATGGCATCATATTGCCTGTGTTCACGTTCCTGTGCTGCTACTACTAAGCTGTGTGACCTTGGAAAGCTTACCTTACCTTTCAAAATACTCAAAATGGAGATGGAGATGGAGATGCCTGTTGTGAGAATTAACTGAGCTAACTTTGAAAATGAAATGCATACCTGAAATTTTAAACTTAGGTTGTTAGAAAGAGCATCTCAGGCAGAAGAAACAGGTATAATGTATAGAGGTATAATGAGCCAAATGTGTGCAACATGAGCATGAGATGTAACCCTTAACAGGCAGATAATGACAGACTGTGCCCTGGTCAGGACTCTCTGGAGAATGTGGTCTTGGAAGATTTTAGCCAGGCAGCTGACATTATTAATAAATATTCTTTCACATGTTAGTATAAACTTATGATTATGTCTAGAACTTGTGTGAACAAAAAAGAAATTTTATGGACTTGAAGAAAACATATCTGTAAGGGATCTGAGAAGCACATAGACATCATCTCTATTCTTAGCACTAATCTAACCAGGCGACCGCTGAAATAGTTTCCACATGCCATCCATCACAGTTGTGGAGATTATTGTCACTGTGTGGAGGGCATTACCAAGAGTACACATGGAGTGTTGGCAAATACATTTTAACATGTATCTAACTGAGTGATGTGGCATCGACTGTGTTGTCTATGCACACACCTGGGTAAAAATGTTCTGAAGATTAAGGAAATAAAGAATGAGCTCAGCATAGCTGATATAGACAATGAGGACATCAAAGGCAGCAAGTTCATAAAAAGATTAGTTCGACATGCATGATTTTCACACACAATGGCTAACTTGTTTGATGTCTTGTACCATGAAGTTGAGATTGTTAAGAAATGTTAAAATATTCCAGGTAGCATATTTAAATGTAACATGCAAATTGCTGTATAGTACACTGCTCTTTCAGGGTCAGCACAGCTGTCACTAGGTGGGGTGTTAATGGAAACAAACTTCTATTTCTCTCTTAGATAACCTGTCTACTACTTGTGGCGCAGTTAAAAAGCTTTTCATTTTACAGTTAAATTACTCCCCTTCATTTCTATTTGAGCTCTCCTTTTATTTTCTTCTCGTTCTCCTTTGTGGGCATCCCTCCTCCCATGTATGCACCCCTTAAGTCAGGCATTTCCCAGGACTTCTCCTTTCCTTTCTGCTTTGCACTCCACATGATTTCTGGGCGCGATACAGTCCAGACCCATGGGTTGAACCTCACTTATGCGTGATTAGTTCCAAACTCTATCTCCATTTTAACCTCTCTCCTGACTGCCAGAGTTTAGTAACTTGTATTTAGATCTCTCTCTGGCACATCAGACTCACTAAATCTAAAGCTAAGTCCATCTTTCCTCCTTAATTCTGATGTTGATATCCCCCATTATCTAACTAGGCTCTTGTAAGAAGTAAGAACTACACTTAAATCAAAACAAAAACAGCAACAAGAAAGTAATTCTAATTACCCTTTCATTCATTTTATTTTATATAATTTTTAAAGATTTATTTATACCTACAGAACTAGGGTACAGGCCTCAGGTCAGAGGATTCACTAGAGACAGAGTGGGCACAGAACAGACAGATCCATGAAGCACACTGCTGTAGGGGAGCAGTGGGTGAGACAGGGGAGGTCGTCTGTGCCATGTGGATCATCTCCGGGGCTGGGGCCAGCTTGTAGTACTGCTCCTTAACCTGCTGTGCCACCAGAGAAGGCCTATTTTTATCATTTACAGATTATTTATACACACAAGAACTGGGGTATAGGCCAGAGATGTGGGGGATGAGAGGATTCTCCAGAGACAGAGTAAGGAGCAGAACAGGAAGTTCTACTGAAACACATTGCTGAGGGCAGCAGTGGGCAGGTCAGGAGAGGTCTGCCATGCCATGTGGGTCAGCTCCCTGGTCAGGGATTGAACTCATGCTACACTTAACCCGTTGCACCACCAGGAAGGCCCTCAGTCTGTTTTATTAAGTATACTGGTAATATTGTGTCATTTCTAATATTGTGCTAAGTCACCTCATCCTCTGTTCTTACTATGGCATGATTTCAACATGGAAGATCATGTCCATCTAGACTATTAGGAGATCTTTTTCTTTATATGTCTCTCCATGTAATGATATATAAAATTATATAGATGTAGATATAGATAGATATGCACTAATATCTTCATATGTAGGTCTATGTATAAATCGCCTATGAACACATATAAATAACTTCTCATAATTAGTTCATAGTGTTGACTTAGCGAAGATGAATCTTCAGTATATGTGTGGGAATGTTCCCTACTACATACTAAGTTTATGTAATGATATGTTAACATTTAATTGTAGGTAGGACTGAGATTACTATTAAACTATATATTACATTCTTAATTATCCTAGATCTCAGTATATTATTAAACCCAGTGTCTATTTTTGTTCTTCATCACAGTCTTTGGTGTTGACTACTGGTACTAAATCTGGATCCATGAACTTTTAACAAGTGATTATTTTCCAGGTGGCTATTGCCGTTTTTATCCTTCTATTCTGCTTTCTTTCATGTATAGTATGTTTATTTTTAATTAAAAGAGGAATCCTGGCATTTGTTTCTATAATCCTGTGATCAGTTAATAGACTCCCTTGATATTTGGGTAATACTTGGTTAGTTGAATGTATTTTTAATCTGAGACTATAATAAAAAAAAGCAAAATGTTACAAACTACAGAAACATCAGAGACTAGTAAAATTTCCTGCAGTGGTGGGAGGGATCAATTTCATGTTAGATCTCAGAGCTAATTCAGTTTAACCTAGAAGTCTATACCAGAAGGAAACCAGTAATTCAAAAATGCAGTGATAAATTAATGCTGCCATAAAGAAAAGATGTTAGAGTCAAGGAAGGAGGAGTAGTGAGTAAAATAAATCTAAGTGACTTTGCAAGTAAAACAGAACAGAACCAGTGATGAGACTTATGGAATACATCAGAAACCAAGACGGACTGAAACAATGAAAACATTTGTCAGAATCTAGGAATGACTAAGTGAACACACATTTACTTCCATGGGACTCCAGTAAACACATTTACTTCTGGAATGAAATAAAATTATAGTAAAGAAATATAAATGATGTCAGCTCAGAAGTACAATAAGAAGGGAAAGGAGATAATAGTGATTTAGTGACAGTAACAGAATTCTGGTAAATAGTGAGAAGATGATACTTAATTTAGTATTTAGAACAGATGATAAGTTAGCAATAGGTTGTGGACATAGTTGTGTAACAGTTGCCTTGTATTCTTTGTTTCCTATAATGGCATGTAAATTATACCTCAAGAAAGCTGGTTAAAACCATAAATTCATTATTGAAGTACCACATGCATGTGGGAAGTTGAACCAGTGTCCAAATGCTGAAGTTTCTGAAAAATGCATGGACTTCTAGCTACTCCCCATATCAGAGAATAGATTGTCAGTTCAGTAGTGGTGGGTGTGGTGTGGTAAAATACACCTCAAGGGTATGATGCTGTGCCTCTAATAATATACATTTTAAATCAATGTTACCTCAAACAAACAAACAAAAAGAGATAAAAATAGCATGCACGCATAAATAAAAAATAACAACACCACAGATATTCCCCTGTGGCCATTCCCAGGCATCCATTTCTCACACCCCAAGATATTATTTATACTGACTTCTAACCCATGACTTCACAGTTTTTCATGTTTCTGTAGATGGAATATACTCATCATTGACTTCTTTAGCTCAGCATTATGTTTATCCATATGCTTGCATATTGTAGTTGACTCATTTTCATTGCTATATAGCTTTCCATTGTATGAGTATGCCAGCATTTCTATAGCCATTCTATTTGTGATGATTATTTAAACTATTTAGAATAGTGTGCATGGGGTTTTATGCATTTCTGATGAGTATCATTTTAGATAATTGGGTATGCAAATGTTGAACTGCAGTAAGTACTACTGACAAGTTTTTCAAAGTGTTTATCCTAAATGTAAACCCCTGGCATATATGTGTGCGGTTCTTCCAATTATCTCCACATTCCTGTCAACACTTGATGTAAACATATCTTTCTTTTAGTCACTTTAAGTACTTTAATTAATTTAACTTATTGTAGTCTCATTTTGTACTTCCCTGAAGACTAATGAGCTTGAGCACCTTCTCATGTGCCTATTAGCCAACTTCCTTTTTGGAAGAAATGACTATTCAAGTCCTTTGCTAATTTTTTTCCTTTAGGATTTCTGTCATTTATATAGAGTAACTTTTTTTTTTGGCACATAAAATCTTTTCCAAAAAGATTGGGGAAATAATTGGTTTTCTAAATATTATATCAGTTTTAAGTGTACAGCATTATAATTTTACAACTTCTTGATTATACACTACATCATGACTATTTCTTTTATAGAGAAGTATTGTAAATACCTTCTCCCACTTGGTGGCATGCTTTTCATTCTAATAATGGCATATCTTAATAAACAGATATTTTACATTTTATGTAGTTACATTTATAACTACATTTATTTGTGGATACTGCTTTTATTTGGTCCTGTCTGAGGAATCTTTATTACCCTAAGGTTATAACTTCTATATGAATCTAATAAGAGTCAAACCAAATCCTTTGTAACCTTTGCATAATATTTAAGTAATTAGGGCATCTGCCTGAAATTAGGCTGTGTGAAGCCATTACTTCAGGCACTTCTTATAAGTGGTTTGAAAAGGAAAATCATGGTATCTTTTATTGACTGTACTACTTTATTTTTGTTGTCTGTGCTAGGTTTTTTTTTTTTTTTTGCTTTTTGCTTTATTACTGAAATCTTTTTTTTTAATTTTTATGTTTAATTTTACATCAATTTGTGCCTTTTTCCATTTCAGTTGTAATTCCCGTGGTCTTCCCATCACCAAATCAGCCATGTGCCATCACCATAGTTCAGTGCACTTCCCTCCCCCCACTGTTTTTGATCCCATTCCACCCCTGTAAAATGTCTCTAGTATATAGTTGTTCATTATTATTATCATTTTCTCCCCTGGTCCTTTATACTCCTGCAATGAGTGAAACCATCCCGTATTTTTCCTTTCTTTCCGGCTTATTTCACTAAGCATGATTTTTTCCAGTTCCATCCATGTTGCTGCAAAAGGCATGTGTTTTATTTTTTGTTGCTGAGTAATATTCCATCGTGTATATGTACCACATCTTTTTAATCCAGTCATCTACTTTTGGGTTGTTCCCATGTTTTTCCTATTGTAAATAAATCTTCAGTAAACATGGGGATGCAGTGTTTTTGTGTCTTTTAGGTAGATACCTAGGAGTGGGATTGCTGGTCATATGGAAGCTCCACTTTTATGTGCTAGAAGTTTTTACTAATGTGATCTTATTATGAGCTATCAATACTCTATAATGTATATGTGATTATTACTCATTTTATAGATGGGTCACTGAGGTTAAGTGGCTGACACTAGTTTCCTATTAGCAGTGTAATTGGTGGAAGATTAGCCTGTCTGACTTCAGAATTACACTCCCAAAATCAACTGCCCCTTTCAAGTCATGTGTGTGCAGGAAACTTAGAGTTCCAAATGTTCTGTTGACTTTGTCAAGGTGGAGGTACATTTGAACATTCATTTCTCTGTTACAGATAAAGGAAGAACTAGATCTAAAAAAATAACAGAAAGTGGAAGAGGGAAACGATATTCATACAAATTACCTCAGGAGTACAACATAGAGACTGTAGTGGTCGTAGAGCCAGCAATGGTTTCCTATCATGGAGCAGACGCGGCCAGGAGATTCATTCTAACCATCTTAAATATGGTAGGCAAACTTTAAAGTGCGCTTGGGATTTTTTCAAGAAAACTCTAAGGAAGAAATGTGTGAGTATAATGAAGTTCTTTAAAAATTAACTCGTTACTGTTCTTTCTATTTTTGACATCAGTAAAGAAGCAACACCCAAATTTAGATCTACCTAAATGATACATATTAAAAGAGGTGTCCAAATAATAATTCATAGCTTCTAGTAAAGAAGCACCCTATTATTAATTTTGATGTAGCAAAACTTTATTATTTTTTATCTCTTTTAGTCACCTGTTTCTTTTATCAAGGGTATTTGTTGCAATTAGCAAAAAAGCTATAATATTGCTTTATATGCACGGCCTTCCCAAAAGTATTACAGATTATGATGGGGAACAAAAGCAGGTTAGTAATATACTGAATTTCTGTATACATTTATGTAAATTGTATGTCAGAGACATTTGTTTATATATAATAGTTAATAGTTACCTTAACCAACTGAATCACATTAATTTTGGTTGTTAGTTTCTAGATGCAGAAGTCTTTGTACCCAGCATTTTATGCAAACTTCTAACAATTAACCCTTGACTCAATTGCATGCCCTGTTAGGCATACCCCTTTGAAGGAAGAATTAGTTGTAGTGGGATGTAGTTCTTAAGGTAAGATAAATAATTTTGTGTTATCATTTTACTGTTTTTGCAGTGGTAAACTTTTCTTTCACATTTATCTTGTCTACATATTCAAAAGTAGTAAGACCTCTGAAAATAGGGGTTCAGTGTGCCAGTTTTGCTTTTTCTGTTACAAATTAAATAAATGTTACATTTTTACAAAAAGACAAGGTACCATGTAAAAGATTGACCTCTCTTTTCCATATTGCTACCCTCACTCACATTTTTTAAGAAACTGATTATACTGATGTTGGGAAATCACTGAGCAGCAATGGCTTGCAACCTGTCTTTATGGGTAGTGTGAAAGCAGGGGCTTTAAAAAACCTGGGCAGAAGCCTTGGAAGACAATGACGACACTAAATAAATTAGGAAGCAACATAAAGCAGTCTGTCTTCAGTATTGTTTCTCAAAAGAAAGGAAGAAACTGGTACTATGCGGTCTTAAAAATTCAAGGGCTTAATAACTAAGATTCTTTCCTGCAGTATCGAGAAAAGCCCAACCTTCCCTCTGCACCCCATTGAAAAGACTAGACTATCAAGGTGGCAGTAAGTATCTCAGAATTTAGGTCTAAATTGTTTGGTATTTGAGTGAATTAGCTATGCTATTATTGCTTATTAAGATAATATTTGAATAAGGCTTTTTAATATATGAGATTTCTCAATTAAATTGAGACTTCTCTCATATCTGGGTTATAAAGAAAATCAGAATGCTTTTCAGCTTTATTTTAGGATTTTTATTCTGTTTGTTTTTAGGTTTTTAACCTTTTCCAACACAAGAGTCTTGGTGTGCAGGTCAATCTTCGTGTGATAAAGCTTATTCTGCTCCATGAAACTCCAGTAAGAAAGTCTTAAGTTTTTTAATCAATTAAGTGGGTGAGAGGTAGTGTTCAAGTATTTTTAAGTAAGGGGAATGTTAGAGACGTGCTTTTTTTATTGACTTTAATTCCAGAAATATCTACTGAGTCACTTAAAGTATACATAAAAATGGCCTTTGGTTTTGGTTAATGCCTCAATTTTCTTCCCAAACCAGAATGTTCTTAGTTTCCAAGGATCCAGAAAACAAACCTCAACTTTCCAAATGTAATTTTTAAATGTAGTTTTAAGAAGTTTTTTTTAATTTTAAACATGCACATTAAAAAAATTCTTATCCATAATTCATTTTAAATAAAGAACGTTCTGTAGCATCATTTTAGTATGCTTCTTACTCTAATACTTCGGAAATTTTTCTTCTTTAATTATAGAAAGTGTGAGTTACTTAAGTGTAAAGATTCTACCCCTCTTTATTTTTTCAGAATAGCATTAGACAGATTTTGTAGTTATTGTAACTCCTCAAAGTTGAAAGGTTTTTAAGTCTGGCTATGATAATCCTGAATGTTTTTGGGTTCTGATTAATATTATGTACAGCCATCTGTTTTCGTAATTCAAGAAGTCCCTCAGTTTTAATTTTTTTGAAAATCTGAGAATAATTTAACTTAAAGTATAATCTCTTTTTGTACAGGCTGACCTATATATTGGGCACCATGGAGAGAAAATGCTGGAGAGTTTCTGTAAGTGGCAACATGAAGAATTTGGCAGAAAGAATGACATCCATTTAGAGATGTCCACAAACTGGGGAGAAGACCTGACATCTGTAGATGCAGCTATACTTATAACAAGGTAAAATTTCCAAAGCCAATTAAATGTTCTTGTGGCATTCCTTATTCCAGGGCCTTGGTATTAATCCTATTAATGCCTATTCCAGATTTTGTGTTGCAAAAAACTTTTGGCATTGGTGATGGTAGTCATTTCCCTGAACTCATAATAACCAATCTCTGAACAGTCACATTTGAGATGACATCTTGACAAAACATTTGACTATTTAACTAAAAAACAAAACAATTTTACCATCTATTTTTGAAAATAGAATCATGTGTGGTAAATAAAAACTTACTGCGTAGGAAAATAAGTTGAAATGAAATCTCTGGTTTTGAGCTGTATCCTGTAAATTCTATGTTATTCATAAACCTTTACAGTACAGCTTTTCAGTATAACTGGGTTAAATAATGCACCACAGTAACCTCTGTATGAGTACTCTGTACTAGTATATTATTCCTAAACTGATTTTGTGTAAAGCTAGTAAAAAGTAGATAATAATTCATTGTTTACCAGCAACTTAGTTTTAATATCATATTGGAGACATTTTATATCATAACCAGCACAGTGTCATTTAAACATACTTTACTGTAATGAGTCTATTGAGCAGTTGCTTGTTGTTGAATTTTATAGAACTTGAAAGTGTTCTTTATAGTGGAAAACATTCTGTACCTCGATGAGGTATGGTGTAGTAACATAGACCTGAAGATTGTGACCCTACCTCCAAATCATACACAGTACTGTAAAGCAATGTAACTTTAATAAAAATAAAATACAACTAGTTTTAGTTATAATTCATTAAAAAAGTGCATAAGAACAGAATTCCAGCTATGTAGTACCTGATTCTGAATTGTACATTAAATAATCATAGATTGAAAGTTATTTTTGAAGCTTTTATCATTGAAGAATGAGCCATGCAAAATTTTCATTTCCCAGAAATGGAGCATCTGTTAGGTGAACTCCACAATCATCTCAGCTTCTTGCCTCAACAGCTATTTGATGAGTGCAGAAAGCTGCAGTGCAGGTAGCATACAGTAGCCCCACTGAAAGCCCCAGAGAAGAGGGCCTTAATAGGGAGAGATTCCATGAGGCCTGTGTGCAGACCATCTTAACAAAGAAAAGAAGAGCAGAAGATGCCTAATGGAGTGGAAGTTGTTTTGGGCACCGAGGACATGCAAACACAATTTGACCTCAACCTGCCCGATGGTGAACTGTATGATTTGGCGAGTTGTTCAGCCACACTGATCTTTTCTTCATCTGTAAAATGACAATACCTATTTCACAGGATGTCAGATTCTTTAGAGATGATATATTCAAAGCACCTAATACTCTGCTTGGCCCATAGTAAATACACAATTAAAATTTATGTTGTAGACATGAACCACTATTGGGAGAAATCAAGTAGTGTGCCAAAATGAAGCAGCAATATAAGAAAATAGAGTTCAGTCAGTTAAAAAAGGAAAATACAACTGGGAGCAATGAAAATGAATTTAACTATTTTGAGGAATGGTAATGTATATTTTAGTTGAACACAATAGACTATCTCTGCAAACACTTTCATAATAATGTCATTTATTCTTTATCTTCACTGAAATGCTTGTTTCACTGTAATAAAGTATAAAATAGAAATATGGACTGAATTTATAAAACGGCAGTTAAGTGTCTGACCTAGAAAAACACAGGTCATAGACTATTCAAGGTATATTTTAATTATATTAAAAGTGATGTATTTGAGATGTCCCTTAGCTAGTAATTTCTCACATACAGTCTCACTCTTCCAGAACATTAAAAAATTTTAATGAAAATGCCATTCTTAATCTTAAATACACAGATGTATTAGTACATAATATATGCATGCATGTATGTACCTATGTGTGTAGACACATACATACAGACACACATGTATTGTGTACATACACATATACAATGTGTGTGTATATGTATGTATGTATGTATGTATAGGTCAGAGACTTAACTGCTGTTTTTTAAATTCAGTCCATATTTCTATTTTATACTTTATTACAATGAAACAAGCATTTCAGTGAACATTTATATATATATATATAATATATATATACACATATACATACATATACACATATATACATGTATACACACACATACATATGTATATATAAAAACACAAAGTAATCAAGTAATTTTTTCTAATTCCTTAACTGGAAGACACTAATAGGAAGACATAAGTGAAAACATATGGCAAAGGAATACGTGATTTTAGGGGACTTGATTTTTCAGTTAACTGTGAGTTACCTAATTAACTCTCCTCATTTATATAGAAAATAGCTTACTGTTGACCTTGGAAATTACTTTATGGCACACATTCCTTTGCTAACAAATACAATTTTCTACATCAAGTTTGCAGTTCATAATGCTCAAATTGAAAATGTAAACAAGATAACAACCAAAAGCAAATTACAACTCTTCCAACTGTGTGAAAGCAATCCCAAATCAAACAAGATGTAAGATTAATAAGGTCAGATACAAAGACCTCACATTCTCCTCCCTCACACTTTGCTTTAAGGTCCTGAAATATGAGACAACTCTGTGCAGAGCCCCAAATTTTTCAAAAACAAAAACAAAAAAATACCCCACAAATTGGGAATAACAGGTGATTTGGTGATACCTCTTCCAGGTATTTATCCAAAGTACATGAAAATAATAACCCTGAAAGGCTTATGCACTCATGTGTTCATAGCAGCATTGCTCACATTAGTTAAAGGATGGAATCTAAATGCTCATCAACAAGTGACTGGATAAAGAAATTTTGTAATGTATACTTAGTGGTGCACTACTCAGCTATTTAAAAAGAAGAAATAATGTCTTACAGTACAAAATGGATGGCACCTGAGATGATTGTGCTAAGAGAAATAAGACAGAAAATGAGTGACAGTTATTAGATAGTTTTAGTCATTTCTACAACATAAATAACCAAAGAAAGCAGACTGACAAAGGCATAGGAATAATTCATATACTCTGAGAAAGCATATGGGTGACCAGAGGGGTTGGGGGTGTAGGGGTTTTGGGGGCACGTAGATAGAAGATGCTGGGGTGCAGGCTCTATAGCTTTGGTGAAAGGTGAGGTATGTTTTACTACCAAACATACATATTTTTGTAAATAAGTAACAAATAATAAAAGTTTGAGAGAAAAAGCTATTTTGTCACCTTTAAAAAAGATTTATTTATTTATGCACACAGAACTCTGGGATATAGGTCAGGGGGTGAGAGGATTCACCAGAGACAGAACCAGCAGTCTGATGAAGTACATTACTGAGGGGAGCATCGGGCGGGTCAGGAGAGCTCTGCTGAGACATGTGGGTCACTTCCCTGGCTGGGGATTGAATTTGGGCTGAAACAGCTACGAGCAGCTTTTTAGTGCTGTGCTTTACCTGGTGGCACCACCAGGGATGGCCCTATTTTGTCACTTTTTATTCTAATATTAAAGAATAAAGAACAGGATGCATGCACAAAGGAGGGATGTGGTGTAAGCAACTGTGTCTCTAGTATTAATTATTCATGAAATTTTTTTTTTAAATATTTATTTATTCCTACAGAACTGGGGTACAGGCCAGAGATGCGGAGGGTGAGAGGATTCACCAGAAAGAGAGTGGGGAGCAGAACAGGCAGATCGACGAAGTACACTGCTGAGGGGAGCAGAGGGCGGGTCAGGAGAGGTCTGCCTCGCCATGTGGATCTCCTCCCGGGCAGGCGGGGATCGAACTCATGCGGAAGTGGCTTAAGCTTCTTAGTGCTGTGCTTTAACCTGCTGCCACCAGGGAGGGCCCTTATGAAAACTTTATTATTTTAGTTTACATTCTTGTACCAGATTTCCTTGAGTCTTATGCCCATTTATGAACTAAAATATAATGTGTTGTTCTTTTTCATAGAACAATTCATAAGACTAACTGCTGAAATTCAAATCTATTCCCAATGAATGATGATTTACCAGGATCTTTTACTTTTTTTCAAAGATTGTAACTATTAGACACATTAGTCAGTTAGGAATAAAGAGCCATGAAACATTATTGTATGTATGGAATGTGAGAGTACACTTTCTCCTAAATGCCTTGAAAACTCTTTGTACAGTATTACAAATGTTTTTTCCTGTTAATTAGTTGAATGCATTTATATGCATATCACTGGATATTCTATTTCTTGAACTACATCCAGCTTTAGATGTGACTCTGAAATTTTCACATATAACTAACTAGTTAAAAACTAATGTTTGACTTTTAAACATTTTTTTAAAAAGATATATTTATGCACACAGAACTGGGGTACAGGCTAGAGGTGCAGGGGTGGTGAGAGGATTCACCAGAGACAGAGTGGGAAGTAGAACAAGCTGACTGACGAAGTACATTGCTGAGGGAGCAGCGGGTCGGTCAGGATCACTTCCAGGACAGGTACTTAGGCCTTTAAAGCAAAATAAAACTGAATTTCCACCTTATTTTAGCCCAATAAACCTTGTATATAGCTTCAAGCCTCCTGAATTGCAAACCATTGTATTTCTGTTGTTTTAAATCACAAAGTAGTTGGTACACTAGCACTAGCAAATGAAGATACTAAGATTACGCTACATCCTTTGGAGGGAGTAGCAGGCATGCTATTTTATTGAGTAAAACTATCCTAATTTATGTAACTGCTCCATATTTATGTAACTCTTGTTGTTAGAGAAAAATGCCACAGATATCTCCCTCTAATATTAGGGTGTTTAAAAAGTATTTGTTATGTAAAAGGGTATATACACTTGCAGAATTTCAATAGGTACTGATGGGACATGAGGCCACAATGTCTCCGATTCACAACTTTTTTTTTTTTTTTTCTAAGTGACTTAGGTCTATTTGACTAAGAATGTCTGAATGAAGGTTTGAGTAATAGAGGCAGAATTCATTTTTTAGTTAGGGTAAACGTGAAGTTGATGCAAAAGTTAGTTTGGTAAGGATGTTGGGAAAATTAGAAATTTAACCACCACAGTTCCCTTGTTCTTATTCCTGTTTGAGAAGCTAAGTTAGAAGCAGTTCCTAGTGATGGTCATCTCACATAATTATTAAATGTCTATTATGTGAGTAGGGAGGAATTTCAGTTCAACAGTTCATTTTGGTTTCAGTTGCAATGAATAATGTTTGTTAAATCTGAACCTATCTGTGGTAATATACTGATTAAATTGTCATGCGTGATATAATGTAGCAAATGATTTAAAGTTGACCTAGTGCTTGTGGACTCAGTAATAACATGTTCTTCCAAGTGTCAGCTTTATGATTTCTTTGTGTAAATTTTCACATGTTGCTTTGCTGTCATGGAGATGGCAAAAGTCTGTGTCCTTGGAGAGTACACTTTAATTTATAATAGAATTTTGTTAATCATAATTTTGCCTTTCATATTTACTGAACTGCTTTTGGTAAATACTGCTGAAAGTTAGTTCCAAGCTAATGCTACTGGCAAGTAAGATAAAAAATTAATAAAATATAGAAATGGCAAAAATATATTCATTTAATATAAATCATAGAATAATGTTTGAATGAATCATTTATAGGTATCTCCCAGGGCACTATTAAACTCTACAATGAGCTTTATTCTCAGATGCATCTTCATTCCTGGAAATTGAGGCTGCATTTCATTTTCTTTTTCAGTATAAAACAGTACTTAAGCACAATTTATTGGCCTTCCCAGTTGCCAGAATCTAACAGTATCATTTCCATAAACTCACATAATGAAAAGCTGTGATGCAGACTTCAGGCACATTGACCCAACATGAGCCAAAATGAGAGAATTTGAATCCACATGATTATAGGTCTCGGCAGCAAGTGAAGCTCTGTCCCCCATACTCTCCAAGGTGTTTGAATGTTACACAATTCAGGATGCATTATCAGTCTGATTAATTGAAAATGAAAATTACTATTTTAACTGGGGTAGGAAGCACAAATGGGACTATGGTGATGGCACATTAGTGAATTGGTGGTGGGAAATCCATGGGAATTACAACTGATATGAAAAAATGTATCAAATGAAGAATGATGTTAAAATATATATACATATGTGTGTATGTGTATATATATATATATATAATAAAATAAGAAAATTAAGATTTTATTCTGATTTGAGGTTTTTAAATGCTAAGGAAAGTTTATTCTTCAATTGTACTAGAGAGGTAAAAAGATCTTGCAGTTATTGAAATAATGTGTTTTATCCATTTGTTCACTAAGTGAATAGAAATTGGCTATGTGAAAGACTCTTAAGTGCCCCTGACAATAGCAGTGCATTTGTCATAGTTTATTCATGTTGTTTAGTTACAGATGAAGTCCCTTGTTTCACATTATGTAAAACAAATAGTCATGTTGTACCCTCACGCATTATGATATGATGTATTGTACATTTAGTAAAAGCTCTAAAAAACTCATAAAATCTTTTCTCTACATCTGAATGTACTTTACACTCGGTAATTCTTGGCTTCAAGGTTTATTTTATGTGGTTCTTTAATTTTCTACATTACCATATTGTTTAATAACATCTGTTTTGGGTGTTTCTATCTCCTTTTGTTTGCTGGCACATGCAGCTGCAAAGGAGAACTACCCATATTTAATACAGTTCCCCAAGCTGCTTCCTCACTTATCTTGGGCCCTATATCACTTTATAGAGGTGACTGTATTCTTTGCCTTCATTGTACTAACTTTTTTTATTTTGCTTTAGATTGTTCTTACCCAGAGTTAGCCTTGTAAGAGGCCATGGTGAATGCCATCTCATCCAATTATATGGGTTGGGACTACACAACAGTAGAGGGAGCTATTTACATGGTTCTGTGTGTAAATACATCCCTAGAATTATGCAGTGTACAACCTATGCAACTAGCATAGTGTTCCAAAGTAAATTTGATTTCTGTAGCTTCTGATACAGAGAATTCTAAACATATCTGGTAGTTTACACATGGCACAAAATGTCAACAAGCCTTTTCATTCTGCTTCTTTTGTAATTATATTCAGACTCTGGATATGCTGTAGAGCTGGGCTGGGAGATTATATTTCTACATCATTTAATGTTGGTTATGAACAACAGAGATCAGATGTTCTCTAGTTGAGAGAAAATCATCTTTTAGTTCACGTGGCAGTTAGAGAAGATTATGTATAGTCCTAAGAGTCAAAGGAAAACCCATAGAACAAGGCATCAAGAAAGAGGGAAAGGAAACTGAAATCTCAATCAGTGGGTTTAGATAATTCAGGGTCACTTATGTTCTCTTTCTTATTTTGGGCAACTCACATTCTCTTATCTACTTTAGATTTTCTGAAAAAATGGGTCACATCTGGGGGTAAAATCTGTTATTAGAGGCTGGTAGTCAGAATATAGGATGTGTTAGAAGGTTTCCCAATGAAAAGGTTCTTGGGATTGGGGTGATTGTGTTATACCTCTGTGGTTATCAGGAATCACCCAACTTAAAAAACCTTTTATCATTACCTTGTGTACAACTGTTGTAGAGAACTCTCTTGCTTAACCTAGATTTATAAGGTTTCTTATTTTGTGTCCTAAATATTGAAGGAATATCAATAACTAGCTTAAATTAGGTTTGGGGGTAGGTTACCTTTAAAGAGTTTTATAGGATGAATGTCTTTCCTCTTTTATTTAGAGTTGTCTCATGTGATTTTGTTATCCATTTCCAGGAATTCACTTTTTCCCTCAAAAAGAATAAATGGCAAAGCCCCCAAAGATAATGGCCAATCTGATTACTTAATCTTCAAAAATTCCTTTTCTTTGGTAGTTACCTTTTATTAACAAATATGTATCTACTTTGCAACATGAATTCAGTTGTAACAATAGACTTCTAAGGCATATGCAAGCAATATTAATGGGGATGTATGTTCCAGATATAAAAGAAACTTTTGTATAGATTGAATATTAATATATGTAAATGGTGCAGTTGTAGTTCAGTTATACAGGTTGGTTTCACTTGTAAGCAGATATTTGAGAAAAACGTGAAAATTTTTTTTTGCAAATTAATGAAAATTTAATGTGCTGTATACACATTGTAGCACTGCATTTTGTCTGCTGTGTTTGAGGAAAATGTCCTGCTCCCTTGCAGAGATGAGAAGTCTCCTCAGCAGATACTCTCAAACACTAAGGTATCTGTGACTTAGGAAGGAAGAGACAGGAGAAAGTATTAATGTTAATGCATTGTTATTACATTATTAATATCAGACACACATACTGTAACAGTTGAAGGAATTAGTAAAGTTGTTTGTACAGTGATAACAACAGTAATTTAAAATAAATTACAAAAATTTAAATAACCTCAAAGTGAAAGTTAACCATATTCTAAGGGAACATCAAAAAGTCCATTACCACATTGAAACTTTTACAGTTTTTCCTCAGTTATATGCATAAAAATAAATTTCTCATTCTATTATGCAATTGTATAGCAACATTTTAACATGCATGAAACATTTTCCATATAAATGTCATTGGTGAGATGTATAGGAAAGTTACACCAAATTAAAAATTTTAGGATTATTTATTATTTAAAAATGACACTTAGTAATTGTCGAATAAAGCAGTTAGGAATTTCTCCCTCACAGCATAATTATACGATTACTTGTAATAGCAAAAGTCACATAGATCCAAAGTGCTCATCAATAGATATTACTTAAACTGTGGTACAGAAATAGCAGCAAGAACAAACAAAAACCATAAGCAAAACATCAAATAATTTTTGAGAGCCAAAGTGTTGGGCATTTTTGGGGGGGAGGAGGGCATTGTTTTATGTATGTATACTAACTCAACCTACACACTAAATCCGTGTTTGATATGGTTAAATTAACCTCTACCGTAAACCTATGTGGTGCATCTATACCATAAGAATGTTAGGTTGTGAAGTCATATCACTAGCAAAAGGTAGATTTGGAGTTCTGCTTTCATATATTCTACCACAAAAGGTCATAAATCTCAGAGGATGCTCGCCAAGACACAAAAGTCAAATAAAGACATATTATAGAATATTATTCATAGTTAGAACCCACTTTTACAAAAGTACTGATTTCCTCATACTCTTATTAAAATAATTATAACTTGTCTTTTGAAAGTTTTACTGGTGTTACAGTATAAAATGTTGTTTTAAATTGTACTTACAGTGTTTAAATCTTCAATCTGGAAGTTGTTTATGTGAAGTAGAGATCTTACAGTATTTTTCAAACAGAAAACCATGTTCCACAACAAATTCTATCCCTTGTGTAATAAAAAAAAGAAATCCTATAAAATTCAAAACAAGGATGAATTTTAGTTTTGAAATATTACTTATGAAATCAGTCAACCTATTTTAGGATTCTGTCAGGTATAAATGTATCATAATAATCCTAATGTTAAAATGAAAAATTAGTTAATTGTATCCTCAGTTTTTTGAAATTCTTAGTGATGAAAAGCATGTTTCATTTATTCATATAACAATTAAAAAGGTCATGTACCTGTTTGTGAAAGTTTACCTTAATTTTCTACTTTTCTTCTAGGAAAGATTTCTGTGTACACAAAGATGAACCATGTGATACTGTTGGTAAGTTTGCTTAAAGTTTTTACACTTTTGAAGACTGAGGTTCTTGAACACATTTTTTGAAATACAGTAAATTATTTGAGAATGCTGGCCTTAAGGAAACTTTTTTAGGATATCATGTGCATATTTTTCACCAATATGTTTCCTTCCTTCTCTAGTGGATAACTTAAATCACTAAAACATAATCATACCATCAATTAAAATCCATGAACCCACAGTTCTTAATTTCGGTAGAATGCTACATCTACGCTAATATGCATTGGTATCAATTACACTATTATCTATAGGTACATAGTTATATATGTACATATGGACATATAACTGTATAGACATATAACTGTGTGGACATGTAACTATATATGTAAGCTATGTAACCATATAAAACTATATAAAGAGTTCTGTGAAAATGTATGTATATATACATATGTATAATTTTACATCATGTAAAATTAATTGTATATGATAAAGTATCATTGCTAGTATGTACTTAAATAATCATAATCTGTTCTTGACCTACCATGTAGAATTCATTTCTGTGGAACAAAGTATTTTAATGTTATCTCCTTTGAGGTGTCATTTGTTCTTTGTAAGATGAGGAATAAAAAAGGCAGTGAAGTCAGGATAAAAACTTTTGGATATTTTTTCAAATAATACTAGGTGGTTCCATTAACCTAATATTTCATCAATGACCTCAGATAATAAAGAGACAGTTTTTTTTAACAGCTTAATGAATAAGGCCATGAAGCAGACAATGATGAAGTAAAATAAATGTTTGATTCAGAAGGGATTATAGGGCTAAAAAGAGCTGAGCACCTACTGAAAAGCTCAGTTGATTTAGTGATGAACTTGCATTCATCACTTAGCTGCTTCTGGCAGTTTTATTCTCCTCTTCTTACCTGAATCTCACAGGTAAGATTAAATCTTGATATATGGGTTTTAGTCAACCTAACATGGAAGCTTAGATGATTGGTAAAACTCGTCTTGAAACAAGTACCTTTTGTTCTACTTATACCACTGTGTTGCCCCTAAAGCCTTTTTAATCTAGAAAGAGCAACCCTTGGCTCATTTCAGCCCCTGAGAGAATTCAGCAGTTTTGGTAGCACTTTCCAGAGCTATGCACATAATCAGCTCTTTCTAGCATGAGCAAGTAGTCATGTGAGGCAAACCAGTTTCTGCTCTGCTGATTGTATTTCACATCTTGCTAAATATGTTTGAAAAAAGCACATGTATTCATGATATATGGTATTTAAGAGACATTTCTTGGCTTAAAGAACATTTGAGTCAGTACTCCGCTGTGCTTGTACAGAGTGTATGATTTTCTTGGGAAGTAGTGTAATCAAACACCAGTTCGGTTTAGTCTGCCCATTGGAAGTTTGATAAAATAAGTTTTAAATATTCAACATAAGATGTGGGAAGTCGAATTCCCTTCCTGAGAGCTCTCTATTTCTGGCATTGGCATCACTGATTCCTAGCCCTTTCCTCTGTATCTTACATCAGTTCTTTTTCTCAGCCTAAATTTGAGACCAGGGTATTTTTTATACTTAGTCTTGTATGGAGTAAATATTTGAAATATTTCTTTGAGAGAGACAAAATGAAAAATATTAGCAAACAAGTCAAGAGTAGTCTCTTCTTCCCAACCCTTTTCCCCCAGTGTCACACTAGCCACTCTTAACACTCTAGAGACATACACGCTGATAGAGTTTATAAAGACATTTGTGAAGAATGGGTGATGTGGCTGCTACTCCATCATCCTTGCATCTCCCGCTGTGTGGCCAGGAGGCCGTGAGGGCAGGTGCTTCTCCTGGGGCAGGTCCTACCTCGCCTAGCCTAACCCAGCCGCACATGGCTTTGCCTTGATTGGGACATGTGATCAGGCACCTGTGTTTGCCAGCTTGCACTAAAGAAAGGAACATTTTATTCATGGTTGAAGATTGTTCTGTGTCTCCACTGGATGTAAACAAGGAAGTCAGATGCAAGTCTGATCACTATAGTCACTAAGAAAAGCATCCTGAATAACTCTGAACTCACACACTGCCCAAGGGCAGGGTGAGAGGCACATTTGTCCTCTGTGATACTGTTTGTGTATGTCTGTTTACACTGAGTCAGTATGGGTTACATGATGATTTCCATGATTCACTTGTAGGATCCCCCTTCAGCATTGTCATGTGCCACCCCACAGACCCTTCTCCTTCCTCCCATCTTTGTTCTTTCCCTCCCCTCTCCCTCTTTATCCATCTGGTGGCCCCCAGTTCAGTCACCTTTCAAGGGTTAGGTTTTCTTGCTGTTGTTTAATTTGGCTTTATCTGACCCTTTGTTTTTGTTCTTCTGTATTCCACATATAAGTGACATCATCTGGTATTTTTTTTTCCCTCTTCTGACTGATTTTGCTTAGCATTACCCCTTCTAGCTCCATCCATGTTGCTACGGATGGTGGTCATGTTTTGTTTTGACCACTAAGTAGTAGTCCATGTACTGCATCTTCATAACACATCCATCTGTTTGGGGTATTTAGGTTGTTTCAGTATCTTTGCTATTGTAAACAGTGTTGCAGTGACACAAGAGTGCAAGTTTCCTTTTAAATTAGTGTTTTGTATCCTTGGGTTGGGGCCCTTGTAGTGGTATTGCTCAGTCTTATGGCAGATACATTTATAACCTTTGAGAAACCTCTGAATTTGTTGGTTGAACCACGATATCCTTCAATTTGGGGGATAATCTAACGTTTTAATTTCTGAATGTGTGAGCCAATGAATATTAGTTAAGCCAATTTAAGATATTTATTTCTGTTGTTTGCATCCTAAAGCATAGTTTACCTTATACTCACATTAGTATATACTCCCAAGAAAAGAAGAACAGGGGCAGTATTAATCTCTCCACTGTTACTAAGAGACAACTGGTAGATGGTTCTGGCACTTGTTCCAAGAATTAAACGAGTGTAGCTTCTAGATCATCTTAGCTGTCTGTCGTGTAATAAAATAAAAAGAGATTGGGCTTAATTAATAAAATATTTATTTTCATACATTTTAAAATTTTCCCATGTGTTACTAAGGATTGTGTTTTTGTGCAATGCTTTTTATAAATCACTACAAACTTTCCTCTCTCTTTTGCCTATTACTGATGGAAAATCACCACATTTCACTTTGGAAATACTGAAAGAGAAGGAGAAAAGAAAGAAGTGAATTTAGTGTTTGTTGGTTTGCATAATATGGTCCTGAATGATAACCTTGACAAAATTTTCCTTGTAGTTTGACACTCCTAGGCACAGTGAAAAGGAAGATCACAGTTAAAAGCTTTTAACTTACTTATTTGAAATATAAGTGGTGATGAATAACTATACTTTAAAAGTAAGGGTGGAATAACATTTAAGTGAGCATTATCTCATTTAGTTTCCACCACATCTGAACTCTCTAGTTTGTTACCATTATATTTTGCAGGTCAACAAAACCCTATAAAGAACATGAGCTTTAAATCTAGATTTAAATCGGAGTTCTGTTCTTAATTACCTATGTGAATAAGGACGTGTTACCACCTTGGAAATTTGAATTCCTCACCTTTCAGTGGGGTGATGTTACTAGCCTCACAGAATGCCGCGCAGCTGTGAGGTGCAAGGAGGCCAATGGTGCTCATGTGCGCTAGTGCCTGCCACATCCTCGTAGTCCCTGCCTGGGGGTACAGGTTTGCCTGGCATCACTTGTAGTAAGTGGTGGTGCCCAGGTTCTGCCTAACATCTCACTACAGTGACAGTCACTTTTTTTGGTAACAGTTTGTGTGTAAAACAGAGGACAAAACAACTAGAAAACTGACGGTGAGAAAATTCTCATTGAAGAGTGATAGAATAAAATTATGCACATTAAAATGCATTAAAAATGATAAATGTAAACTTATATTTACCCATACTTTCTCTTTGAAATTATGGGGTGATTTGCTCATTTGCTGAAGTAAAATATGCAGTTGACTATGTCAGTGCTTCAGTTGATGAATTGTATTTCTTAAGGCCTATCTTTGCACAGCTATTTAGTGGACAAAAGTAAAATTAAACTCTGATCTATACTTAGAAACAAGTGGATAAGACATTTAGAGAGAAGTGCAGTTACTTTGCAATTCAATGAAAAAGACTTAAATTGATGAAAATATAAGCTGTCTTGACCTGAAGGACTAAAAATATTAAGATTCATAATTATATATTGTAAAATCTGTATCCATTGTATCCATAAAAGTTGGACAAAATTTTGTAGGGCAGTTGACAGTCTTATTTTGAATCTTATATAGAGAAGCATAGGCTTAAGAATTGTCAGTGTCCTAGTGAAGAAAGAATGTCAAAGGGGAAATGCACTCTATCCTTTATTAAGATATAGTTTATAATAAATGAGACAGTGGCACATAAGAATCCATGTATGAAGCAGGACACCATGATTGACGGCACATTTTGGAAGATAGTTGATAATCCACACAGAGAAAGTTGAAATCAACCCCAGGTGGCTTAATTTTTTTTTTTTAATATAGGACAGTGATAGGAAAAACAACTCTCCATGGAGAATTGATAGTTATGATAAATCCCAGAAGTTGCGTAAAAACAATGTAAAATGCTGTCCTGTATATGACTAAGTTATCTTTAGGTTGTAAGCTAATATTTTCCAGTGTTTTTGCATTAGTACCTCTTAACAATCTTGAGAATTACTTAAGACCCCAAAATAGTTTTTATATAGGTAATATTTATTAATTTTCACCATAGTAGAAATTAAATCTGAAAACTCCTTTTACAATTTTGATATGAAAGCTTTGTTTTAATTTTTTTTATTGCGGTAACTTTGGTTTATAACACCATATATACTTCATAGGAGAATGTTGCAGCAGCAACATCACACTGATAAAGGGGCGTCATGGAGCAGGCTGCATGTGCAGGACACTGCTGATGAGCAAGATCCTGGCCTTTTTATTGATAGAAGAATGGAATTGCATCAGTTGTAAGGAGAAGTAGGAAAAAGGAAAAGGGAAAGGTTAGGACT